CTGCTTCAATCCTGATCAAATATAGCTATTAGAAGAAAATATTTAAATCAAGAGAAAGTGGTTGAACTTGGAAGTTTTTTCAGTTCGCAAAAAATTTTGACCGTATAATTTAAGCTGCCCATTTTGAGGCTATTTTTCATTGTGATACCTAACTTAAGTAGATTGGCTTTCTAGTTTTAATTTTTAAAACTTACAATTTTTTTACTTTAATTTTTTTTCTCTTTTTTTTTGGCTTTCTTGATTTTAAATGACAGTGTGGCAAAATACTATTTTCAAAAAGTATAGCCATTACATACTAAGTTTCACAAGGAAGGAGTCAAATATACTTCCTGAGATATAAATGGTAAATAAATGAGGCAAAATATGGATCCTTATGTCTGAGTCAAACTCCCCAGACTGACTCTCGTAGATAAATTTAAAGAATGGAATTATTCACTTAATTACTGGGCGACTGTGATATATTTTAAGGTTCAAAAAATATGCCTAATCAATCATGGTATCCAGTGTTCTTCAGTTTTTTTATTTAGGTTTCATGTAGACTTATCTTGATTTTTCCTTAATCCTTGAAGTTCTGAAGCTGAGGATATACTTTATCCAGTATTGTTTATAATCCTTTATGAAGAATTATGTGTAACTTTATGAAGAACTATGTGTATGTTTTGTTGTACTTTGTTTCATTATTGAACTGACTTTAAAAATGTTTCACCCTAGAGAGGCAAAGGTGTATATAGTATATAAACACACACACATATATGTGTATACACTGTTATTTAAAACCTGTTGTACAGTTTTTGCAACTGCCAGTAGATGGCATTGTAAGTTCATGAAAAATATTTGGCTCTATGAATTGAACAAAGTTTTGTTGTACTTTGTTTCATTATTGAACTGACTTTAAAAATGTTTCACCCTAGAGAGGCAAAGGTGTATATAGTATATAAACACACACACATATATGTGTATACACTGTTATTTAAAACCTGTTGTACAGTTTTTGCAACTGCCAGTAGATGGCATTGTAAGTTCATGAAAAATATTTGGCTCTATGAATTGAACAACTTGAGTACTGAATTTCTAAGCCTGGAAAATTTTTTAAGTGACAGGTGTTTTAAGTGAGATTGATGGGGTGGTATTGGTCATGGTGAGTTAAAAATGTCTATTATCTTTAATTTTGTTTTATAATAATAGCCTTTTTGTAACATTTTCATCAGTTATCAAACTCTGTGTGTGTGTATCAGAGCTAATTTTAGAGGGCTTGCTAAAAACAAATTGCTGGGCCCAGAGTTTCTGCTTATGTAAATCAGGTTTGGTCCAGAAATTTGCATCTCTAACAAATTACCAGGTGGGGCTAATGATGATATTAGTGATCTGAGGACCACTAGGTTTTCAAAAAAATATTATTGCGGTAAAAGACACTTAACATAAAATTTACTGTTGTAACCATTTTTAAATGTACAGTTTTGGTATTAAAGACATTCAGATTTTTGTGCAACCATCACCACTGTCGATTCCCATAACTCTTTTTATCTTGAACAACTGACACTATACCCATTAAACAATGACTTCCCATCCGCCCTGCCCCTGACAACCATCCTTATGCTTTCTGTCTTTATGGTTTTGACTACTGTTAAATACCTCATATAAGTGGAATCATGTAGTCACTGGCTTATTTCCCTTAGCATAATGTCAGGGTTCATCCATGTTGTAGCGTATTGCAAAATTTCCCTTTTCAAGGCTGAAAAATACTCCATTTTACATATATAACACATTTTGCTTAACCATTCATCAGTAGACACTTGGGTAGCTTCTATGTTTTGGCTCTTGTGAATAATTCTATTATGAACATGAGTGTACAAATATCTCTTTCCGACCCTGCTTTTAATCTTATTGGGTATATATCCAGAAGTAGAATTTCTGGACCATTTGGTACTTCTATTTTTAATTTTTTGAGAAACTGCCATGTTTTCCATAGCAGTTGTTCCATTTTACATTCTTACTAGTAGTGCACAAGGGTTCCGATTTCTTTACATCCTTATCAACCGTTGTTTTCTGTTTTTGTTTTTGTTGTTTTTTGGGGAGAGGAGTGCGAGGTTATGTCTCGTTGTAGTTTTGATTTGCATTTCTGTTATGATTAGTGATGTGCCTCTTTTCATGTGCTTAATGGTTACTTGTATATGTCTTTCCTGGTGAAATGTCTATTCAAGTACTTTGCCCATTTTTGAATTGGGTTTTTGTTGAGTTTTAGGAGTTCTCTATATATTCTAGGTATTAATCCCTTACTATTATTATTATTATTTATTTTATTTATACGGTATTTGTCTTTTCGCTTTTTTTTTTTCTTAATGCCTATAGCACCTGATATTCCTAGGTAGTCTGCCATCCAAGTACTAACCAAGCCTGACCCTGCTTAGCTTCTGAGATCAGAGGAGATCGGGCTTGTTCAGGGTGGCATAGCCATAGACTAATCCCTTATTAGATATGAGATTTACAAATATTTTCTCCCATTCTGTGCGTTACCTTTTTACTCTGTGGGTAGTGTCTTTTTGATGAACAAAATTTTAAAATTTTCATCAAGTCCAGTTTGTCTTTTTATTGTTGTTACCAGTGCCTTTAATGTCATATACAAGAAAGCAGTGCCAAATCCATGGCTGTGAAGCTTTTGTCTTATGTTTTCTTCTAAGAGTTTTGTTGTTTTAGGTCTCAAATTAAGGTCCTTGATCCATTTTGAGTTCCATTTTTGTATGTGGTATTAGGTAAGGGTCTAGCTTCATTTTTTTGCACGTAGATCCAGTTTTCTCAGCATCATTTGTTTAAAAAAATATCCTTTCCCTATTGAAGGGTCTTGGCACCCTTGTCAAAAACCATTTGGCCATATATGCAGGGGTTTATTTCTGGGTTCTCTATGTCATTCCATCAGTCTCTATGTCAGTCTTTATGCAAATATCACACCGTTTTGATTACTGGAGCTTTATAGCAAGTTTTGAAATCAGGAGTGTGAGTCATCTGGTTTTGTTCTTGTTTTTCAAGATTGTTATGGCTGTTTGGGGTCCCTTGAGATTCCACGTGAATTTTAGGGTGAGCTTTTTCTATTTCTGCAAAAAAAAAAGTCATTGGAATTTTAATAGTGACTGCATTGAATCTTTGAGTAGTATTGACATTTTAATATTGTCTTTCAATTCATAAACATGAGATGTGTTTCCATTTATTTGTCTTTAATTTCTTTCAGCATTGTTTTGTACTTTTCATTGTACAAGTCTTTCACGTACTTAAGTTAATTCCTAAGTATTCTTTTTGATGCTATTTTGAATGGAATTGTTTTTGTAATTTCCTTTTCAAATTGTTCATTGTGTATAGAAATGCAACTGATTTTTGCATGTCGACTTTGTATTTTGCTACTCTGTTGAATTCATTTATTCTAACAAGTTTTACTTTTTTGTGAAATCACTAGAGTTTTCAGTAGGTTATGTCATGTGCAAACAGATATATGTACTTATTCCTTTCTAATTTGAATGCTTTTTATTTCTTTTCTTGCCTAATTGCTTTGGCTAGAGCTTCTAGTATGATGTTGAATAGAATTGATGAAAGCAGGCATCCTTGCCTTGTTCTTGATCTTCGTGGACATGCTTTCAGTCTTTCACCATTGAGTGTGCTGTTCACTGTGCGTTTTGACAAGGGAAAGGTTACTGTCCTGCTGTTAATTAGTTTCTAGTCATAATGTACCCCTGTGAGTTAAAGTAATAAATGTGCCAGTGCCCCATATACCAGTGACCAGTGTAGCAGAATAGTTAAGAGCTAAACTCCGGAGCTTTGGTGCTTGGGGTGGATTCTGGCTTTGCCGTTGTGTACTTTCAGCTTATTTTTTCCCCCTTTGCCTGTTAAGTGAAGTTTGATCGTTGTTCACACCATATCAGGTTGTTCTGAGGCTCAGTTAATACAGGTAAAGTACTTAAATAGTTGCTAGCACATAGTAAGTGCTGTATAGGGTTGACTTATTATAATTATTACTGTAATATATGTAAAGCACTCGTGATAATGGCTTACTACTATTGTTATTCCCCTCTCTGGTGTGTCCCCTTTTTCTGGTGGCATTAGTGGCATCTCAATTTATAAAACTTTCAAAGTCATCACTATTAAAATAATACCACGTTGGTCAGATACTATTAAAAGTTTTAATGCTTTTCCTTCTCTTTGACCTTTCTTTTTGAAGTTCTCAAATAAGACAGTTATATTTTCCAACTCATTCTGAACAGTTATGATCAATAGGCATTTATTACCAACTGTACACACGAGCTGCTGTTTTTCAACTGCCACTTCTAATTCATGTCGCTTTTTGTTTGGCACTCCCAGGGCATAGCACGTTTACAGTGCAGTTTATAATATTTCAGTTCTACCTGAATATATCATTGAAATTCACATTTATTATAATTATCACGAAAAACAAAGGTAGTTGAAACATCTGGTTAGGAGTGCACCTCTTCCATCAACTCAGTGTATAATTTAGATTGATCATTTTATTTGACTATTTCGTAATGAATGACATTTTAGAAAATCTGAATACAATACAAATCTGAATACAATTATTCAAATCTGAATACAGTTATTCAGATTGTATTGTGAAGCTTACAGCTTCACAATATAATAGCGAGAAGCAAGAAGCAAATAGAAGAACTGTTAATAAGAAATTATACAGATGTGTTTATTGGCAAAAAAAGTTTTTTTAATAACTAGTGATAATTTGTTCTTTAAAACCTGAAACTACTTATCGAGATGAGAAATTAATAAGCTTTCGTTTATTATTAATAGATCAGTGTATTTTCTGTGTTTTTTCTCATTTTCTCCCCACACAGGGAGTCAGGGATGGAGAGCAGACACCCTAATAGTTTAGTTAATGTATAATTTTGAAATAAGCGGTATATTGTTTTGAAATCTAATTTAATCCACAGTAAGTATAAATATCTTCAATATAATATTTAAAAAAAATTTAAACTGTGTTTCTTTAACAGATTTCTATAATCCAGGAGCTTGTTACTAATTATGAAGCCTCTCTTAAAGCGTGTGACTTCTTTAGCCCTTATGGTAAGTTTAAATTAGATTGAATTGCAGTTTGATTCCTCATTTCAATACATTTTTAATCACTTACAGTTAAATTATCTTATGTTTATTATGTACATGCTACGTGATAGCTATGTACCAAATAGTTTTTGAATGAACGAAATGAGAAGAGCACTTCAATTTTATTTAAGTTTTCCATAGTATTGTGAGTTGGGAGTTGACCCTATTTTAACGTGTGTTAACAGACTTGAGAGGTTGAGGTCTTGCCCAAAATCTTGTAGTTAGCTTATATAGAAATGTGTGTTTATTTAATCCCTAGTTCTTTCTACTTTTTAAAAAATTTTTAATTCTGTATAATTTCATTCTTTGTTTCTCTGTTTGTAGGTGCATTTGTAAATCAAGGCAACTTAATTTAGAAAACACTCTAGAATACTTTGTCATGCAGATGGTAACTTTAGTCTGGTTTGTTCATGTGTCTTTTACATGTTTGAAACAAATTCCATATAAAATTACAGATACAGAAATAAATAGGATAATGAACCTCTGTATCCCCATCACCCAGCTCTGTTATCAACATTTTGCCAGTCTATTTGAAGTACTTTCAGTCCACTTATTTTTCTAGAGTATCTTTTAAAGCAGACATACTGCTTCGCCTGTAAGTACCATAATATACATCTCTAACTCTTTAAAACACTTGAACAGAAGATCTAACCACAGTGCTTTCTCGCACAAAATTAACTTTCATGTCATGGTAACTTAACACCCAGTCCACACGCATGTTTCCCTGATTATCTTTAAAATAATATCTTTGTATAATTGCTTTATTTTAGTGTGGGTCCTGCTAAAGTCCACATTTGTTTTGTGTCTCTGATATTCTTTTAATCTTGAGTAGTGCTCTGCCCCTCTTTTTAAATGTCATTTATTGAAAGGTCATTCGTCTTGTGGAATGTCCCGTTTTCTGGATTTGGCTAATTTGCTTTCTCATGGCATCATTTAATATTTTTGCTGACATCCATATTTCTCGTGAACTTATAGTTAGGTTTACAGGCTTGATTAGATTCAGGTTCTGTGTGAATATTTCATGCGTGATACATTGTACTTCCTGTCACACCTAGAGGCAGAAGACATTCTTTTAGTCTTTTTTTGTGATGTTAAGGTTAAGGTTCAGATGCTCTCATCCTGCCCAGTAAAGAGTTCCTTGTTGGCTTCTCACCTGAAGATTTTTAGCAGCTACTGAGGTTCATTGTCCCAGTCCCTTCTTTCCTTCAAATCCTCATTCTTTCTGTATTTATCAGCTAGAAATCTTACAAATAACTTTCCGTCATCAGTTATTTGGTTCCCCTGAAATATAGTTTTATGTAAGAGGAGCACGATAAATGCTGAGCTTTTTGTTTTTATTATTTGCGTTTTAATTGATACTAATTTTTGTGTTTGCATTGTTATTTCATTTGGTCAGCTCAAAACCTGTTTTTTCTGATGTAGTATGGGTAAGTTCCCTTTCCACTCTTTCTTCCTCATTTTATACCTGTAGGTCTTCCTTTCTGGAATCTATTTGGAGAGCGTGGTGTTTCTCTATCGACTCTTCTGTAGCTTGAGGGGACAGGATGGGGAGCAGAATAGAGCTCAGCTGATTGTATGTGACTGCTTTTGTCACATAGGATTACTTCTGTCTTGTCAGGAATGTTTCTTCACACTCTTCAACTTTGGGTTTCCCTGATTTAGTGCGAAGGCCTAGACAGTGCTAAGCCCTGGCAGTCTTGTCTTTGTGGAAGTCTTGCAGTGGTAGTTAGGACATCTTCCCTCCAAGCCCTTCTCCTTGACCTCTCCTGGGCCTAGCGCCTCATGCTCTTAGCCAGAGAATTTGTAGTTAGGTTGCATTACCTTCTTTCTCCAGCACCGTTTCCTTGGAGTGAGGCAGGGCTTAGAAGTCTGTGAAACTAGAGTCTTGTTTCTCTGCTTGGCTGCACGTTTTGAACTTGATGGCATGAAGTCGTACCTCTTTCTGTTGAAACTGGTCATTTTTGCTGGGTTTTTACTGTTTACGATTGTAATAATTATTAATTTCATTATGCTTTGGGGGAGAGGAAGTATGTGACGTGCTTTACCTTGCTTTCTTTCCTATAATAACGTTTTGTTTGTTTGATTGCAGAGAATGGGGAGAAGGAGCCCCCAACAACGCTGCTCTGGGTTCAGTATTTCCTGGCACAGCACTTTGATAAACTTGGGCAGTATTCTTTGGCTTTGGATTATATTAATGCTGCAATTGCCAGTACTCCAACTCTAATAGAATTATTTTATTTGAAAGCAAAGATTTACAAGGTAAAATCCTAGTCATGTGTTTTGAGTAGCTGAAGAATTTGGCCACTTTAAGAACTCTTGGAGTTATTTCTGTGTAGAAATTACTCGTATGGCACCCTGATAATCTATTTCTAATCCTCTAATAATTCTAAAGACTTTTAGATTGCATAGTTGTGTAATCAGGGTTAATCATTTGATTCAGCTCTTAGTAAATATGAATGTTAATTTATCTAAAGATATCTAGATAAATTTTACAGAAATGGTACCAGATTTCTAATTTGTCTTTATACATATTTGCCATTGATATTGCACCCATATTCTCTTAATCATAAACTATAATTTTAAAATACTTTCATTTCTTAAAGCATATAGGTAACCTCAAAGAAGCTGCAAAGTGGATGGATGAAGCGCAGTCTTTAGACACGGCTGATAGATTCATCAATTCTAAATGTGCAAAATACATGCTTCGAGCAAATATGATAAAAGAAGCAGAGGAAATGTGCTCCAAGTTCACGAGGGTAGGAAATAGCATGCGATTGTCCGAGTTAGTAAAATTAACCTTAAGTTCTGTGGTGATTTATAAAGATTGCCACTGAAGTTGCTAAGAATTCATTTTTGTTATTATTTTTTTTAAATCCCATTTAGCTCATATCCTAAGTCTGGCTTTTTACGGTGGTTGGGTGTGTGTATGTGCATGTGCTTCTGGTGATGGATGATTAAAAAGCAATAGCAGGAGCGAAATAGCTTTATACAAAAATAAGCAATGTACCACACTTCAGTGAACATGTGTAGTATTCGATTTATAATTTTTTTGTCTCACTAGTAATTTGTAGTCGCATATTTCTTCTGTTTAATTTCTCTTTTACGCTATCTTCAGAATTGCTCATAGAATTCTTTCTGTGTAGAACTAATATCTGTGAGCTACTAGTCTCTATGGCATTCTGGAATATAAGTTCAAAAATCAGAGATGAAAAGATACTGCTGGGGCGATTAGTTACTTGTGTTGAAAAAAGTAAAATGACATCCTTATCTTACTGCACACATATTGATTCCAGGTGGATTAAGATCCAAATATGGAAAGCAAACCTTTCAAGCTTTTAGAGTAAAATATAGTAGTTTATCTTTAGGGCTTGAGGTAGGAAACATTTCTTAAGACACCAGAAGCATAAAGTACGAGAGTGAAATTGATACACTTGACTATATTAAAGATAATGTATGACAAAAATAACCATAGGGAGAAGATAAACCATAGAATTAGAGAAGATATTTCCAACTCATATAATGAAAAAAGAATTTATGATCTCCAAAGAATTCGGTGAAATGGTTAATATAACAGTGAAATGGTTATATGACACACATTGAATGTGACGTTGAAGCATAATGAGAAAACTATTGCAAATTTGCTTTCCAAGTTTTAATTAAGATACTTTGAAATAAATAATTTATATCTCCAAAGTACACATTACATAGGAAGTAGAAGGAGGGCTTTAGTGCTGGTGTTTGCAGGTAAGTTATTTAGGATGAAAATAAGTTACCACTGTGCTCTGTAATGCTAATGTATTGCTACTAGAGCACCAGCGTGCCACCTTCCTTAAATGTTAACTAAATTCTAGTTGTGTCTGGTTATGAATGGAAACCCCTTGTAATTTAGAAGCGACAGAATAGCCTGAACTTATATTATGAAAATTTGACTGCTTGCAAGAATGATGTCATAGAAATGTAAACACACACACAAAACTCAGTAAGAAAAGGCAAGTATGGGCAAAGGATATGAACAGTTCACAGAAGTGGAAAATGGAATGGCCAAGAAATACGTCTTTATCAGTAATCAGGAGAATTATAAGATATCATTTTGTACCCATCAAATTTAAGAAATTGAAGTCTCACATTATTAGATAGTCACAAAAATAGTATGTCCTGTGTATATATGCACATGTATATGAGATATATATGAAATATATGTCATGTATATTTTTATGATGAGAAAGAAACAATGAATGGTCTTTAGATAGTAGTCTTTAATGAAAACTAAATGTGTGTTACCTCTAATTTTTCATTAGGGCCACTACCTATAGACCGTTTGTTTCTTTCTCATCATAAAAAGGGCTTTTCATATGAACCTGCCTGACTTTTACTTTCTGTTGTTTAGAGTAGTGCTGATAATTTGTCTACCATTTCTAAGAAGAAATAGAAAGTGGCTTTAACAATTATTAAGCACTGAGTTAAATACATTTATGTACATGATATCATTTAATCTTAACAATCCTGTATAGCAGGATTAGAGTTAAGAAGATGTTTAGGGAGGTCAAATACTGTGCCAACTGGAGATCACGGAGCTAGTCATTTATTTGGATCCAGGATTCTAGCTTAGGGGTCTCTGATTTTTAAACACAGGTTTTAGGATTTTGTCGTAGGAGCAGAAACTGCAGTGGCTAGTGTTTCTGAAACTCAGATGCCATAGGATCAACAGCAGCTGCAAAGTGGCCGATGTAATGTTGAGGAAAAGTATGAGCAAGAAGGATGAATATTAGGAGAAAAAAATTTAGGAAAATAATAATTCTGTTTATGTTCTTGATGCGCACTTTATCGTATTTGTGTGACATTTTGCAGCAAGGTGATTGAGGCTCCGAAGAGGTTACTGGAATCATCTTTGATCATATAATAATCAGTGCTGGGGTGCAAACTCTTCAGTGCCCTTCCCACTGCATCACAGCTTTGAAGGTTAGACGAGAGTACCAGTGTAGATAAAAGAGCAGTGATGTGTGTAGACAAAAGTGCCACCTGGAAGGCCAACCTGGAGATTAGAAGTAAAGTGCAGTTACCAATGAGTACACAGGACTTCTTACGTTAAACAGGTCCAGTGATTGAAACACACACGCATACACCAGACACCTAGGATGACTCTGAAAAGGCACAGGAGAATGAGAAAGAGGGGAAAAGGTTGGCCGTTTGAGAGTAGTCACCAAAATCTGTGGCTCAGCTTGCTCATCATAATTGCTTTTAGTTGTCCACTCACTTGTGACAAGTTGCCAGGCTGTTTGGAGAGCTTATGTAGTTTACCATACTGGTCTACTGGCCAGACACGTCTGAAGCATGTGCTGGTAACAGTGAGCCAGTGGAGAGAACTGCCAGCAACCTTGATAGTCAGTTCGTGTCTGCTCACTAATGAGTGAAGGAAGTGCTCATATTTCCTTCTTGTAGATTTTTCACAGTTTAGAATTCTTATACAGAGTTGCTGATGCAAGGTGTATAGTTGTAGTTGGTAATGAAATGAAAAATAATGTAGATTTCTTCTAAACGTATGTAATTATCAAAAAAGAGGAAAAGATATGTAACCATAAAGAAGAAATAAAATGCATCCATAATTTCATTCACCCAGAGTTAGTTTTTATACTTTTAAGGAGAATTCTGAAAATTGAACTGATAACACATAATGGGTGTGAAAAAGAACTAAAGATTGTAATTACTTATGTAAATGTACCATTGCCATGGTTCCTGGGGCCATGTAATATATATTGAAATAACTCTTCAGAAATGTGACAATACTCTAAGTGCCCCTGCAGTGAAACTAGGTACTTTATGTCCTAACACTGGTCACAGAATTCACATTGAGTCTGAATTAATAACTATTCTTAACAAAATTTATTATTTCATTTTGTCACCCCACTGCCAATGAGAAAATTTGCCATAGAACAGGAGATGCTGTTAGGAGCAGACCCATGGGCACAAAAAAGTGACAGTTAATAGCGGAAGCCTAATGTGGAGGGAGGATACTGAGAAACTGAAAAGCAGTCTTGGAACTGTTACTGACAAATTTGACATTAATGGATGCACATCATAGTGATCCTGAATCAGCAAAGAATGGTTAAGAAACTTGCTTAATAGGCAGACGATGGCATTACTTCATAGGATTACTATAGAAAATAGTTTAATTAAAAGCTTTGGCGCTTAGAAACTGAGCTCTAGTAATCTGGACTCTTTTCTGTTTAGAGCGTTGAATACTCCAGCAGAGCTGGGTAAATAAGACATTATGTAATTTTAAATTTGTTAGGAGCCTTTTGGTAGCACATTGATATATTTGTTAATTGCTGTTGTCATAATATTTGTAGCTTTAGTTGTAAAAGAGAAAATGAGATTTTTAGGATCTCTTCTTGTTTGCTGCTTATATTTATGAATGATTCCGTTTCAGGATGGAACATCTGCCATGGAAAATCTAAATGAAATGCAGTGTATGTGGTTTCAGACAGAGTGCATCTCAGCTTACCAGCGTTTGGGGAGGTATGGGGATGCCTTGAAAAAATGCCATGAAATAGAAAGGGTAAGTAGATAGAATTTTGACATTATTTTTCTCTTGTAAAGTGATGAGAAACGCAGATGGATTTCTGCCCGGGATCATCTTCCTCTTTTATCTACTTTGGAAACTTCATTGTGAAAAAGTCGATCTTTAGCCTTTCAAACATTCCAAGATTGTCATTCAACAATTGCTTTTGATCCTCGAATGATTACGATTTCAACATGTCTCCATATTTTTGTCTGAAAGATTAATTTAATATGCCGTTATGGTTATTAGTAACATATGTTCAAACTTTCTGTTCCCTAATCGGGCCATTATTTGGTTTTCATCCCCAGCCTAGAAGGATACACAAGCTGATGGCCGCCTCTTTCCCCATTGTGCCAGGATCTGCTCAGTAGTCGGCCTCTCTCCAGTTTGTCTTCCCACGATGTTCGTCCTCACATTCAGTACTCGTGCAGTGATCTGTGACTGCTTCGCAGGCTGATTTTATTACTTGCTTTTAGGATTGTGTGTGTGATGTGCCTTAGTGAGGGGCCTTTTCTTTTCCTTTGTGTGAATTTTTGTTTTCCTGTTCTTTGTCATCTCTGAAGCACTCTCCTTCCAAATGGACAACAGGAGGAAAAGAGCCACACATGCACCCCTGAGGCAGTCCTCAGCAGCCCTCAGTTGGGGTCACTCGGCACCACTGTTCCCATGCTGACGCAGTATAAAACCACAGGCGTCGTAGTCAGGTGAGCCTGAAGTCTGCACTCCGGCAGTCACTTTGGCCTTTTTCCCATGTGAAACCTCTGAGGTTACCCAGAAGAAAGGCGGAATCTTAGGGGGTGGCTTTTGACGGGGACCGGAACTAGGAGTACACCTGAGCCCTCTTACAAATAACCTAGGTTTTGCTTTATTTTGTTTATTTATTTATTTATTTTTTGCTTTTTTCTTTTTAAGCCTGGGCTCGATGGCTATATCTTTAGGGAAAATAGTTCTCATCTTCTCCTTGAAAAATATAAAGCCCTTGGCTGATAAGTGATTCAGGCAGGTTCCAAGCATTGTCATGTGAGTCAGGCTCTTATTTCTGTGATAGAACCATAGGTTACTGGCTTGTGGATGATGACTGTCACTTTAAAAGCATTTCTGTTTGTTATTAGGAAAGATGCATTCTTGCTAACCAGGACCTCAGAGAGGGACAGATTGTTTCCTGAATGAAGGGACTGCTGGGCACTTAGGGATCAGTAATTCCAGCGAGGCCAGAACCAGAGATCGATCAGATTTTCTGTGAAAGTCAAATTTGAACATCCTTAGGATCATTATGATTGTGAACCTCTCCCATTTCTCCTAACATTAATAACTATCTTACTTTGTTCTAGTTAATATTTTTGAAGATTGTTAGAATATGATCACTAGCTATTCCATTACTAAGTTTCATTTAGATTATACTTTTTCTTAAATTTTTAGTGATTTTAGCTAACACGAAATAAAATTCTGTGTGAAGTCAGATAAACGACAGTCGACCCTTAGACAATGCATGGGTTGGGGTGCCGACCCCTGTGCAGTGGAAAATCTGAGTATAACTGCAGTCTACTCTTTGCATATGTGATTCCCAACTGTGGGTAGAAAATAGAGTTGACCTTTGGACAATGAGGGTTTGAACTGCACAGGTCCACTTATACGCATGTTTTTTTAAATTATAAAAACCATGTCGTTCAAGAGTCAACTATACTTCTGGTTCAAGAAATATCATTTGACTGGTAGAAAGCATTTTTGAAGGAAAAAAATGATAAGAAATCATTGGTTATCACCCTCTGGTCACGTTACACATTTGTTATTGCTAGAATCTTTCCTGTCTTTATTTAGGGTTTGATGTCAATGCTTGAGAATAGAAAATACGAATAACAGATAAACAAGGAAAGAGCCTATTCTTATGTTGTTTTAAAGTTTGTCTTTTTATAGTGAAATAATTTATACTAAAAATAAATAAAACTAATACGTAGGAATATGAGCGCATAGTACAAATAGGGTGATTAAAGATTTGCTGAGTGATTAATGCTTCTAAAATTAATTTCTAATAGTTCATGTAATCTGAAAGAAAATTCTTTTTTAAAAAATTTATTTAGTTTCACGTATACAGTACATTGGTTAGACATCTATATAATTCATAAAATGATCACCCCATTCGTTCCCTCTGTCCCCTGGCCCTCCACCTAGCCATCATATTAATGCTAACTGCATTCCCTATGCCGTGCTCCCCATCCCCGTGACCAACTATCAACTACTAATTTGTACTTCTAAAAGAAAATTCTTAATGAAATCATTGTAAGGATTTAGGAGTAATTGCTGAATTAAAAGATTTATTATAATAGGTATCTACATGAATTACTTTCGTGTCTGAATTTAAAGTATTTTAGCAAAGAAATGAGCACTTTTCAAAAATCTTTGTAGTTTACCCTGTAAAAAGAAGGTCAGTGACTAGCAAAATAAGTTTAAATTAGGGCTAAATCATCTGCCTTCAAGAACTCTTTCCGAAATTCTTTCAATGAAGGCAGTTTCAGCTAGGGCATATATGAATTTGACATGTTAGGATTCTGGATAGGCTCAGTTTAGTTCTTTTTCTGTCTTAATCTTGCCACCCTTAATAGGATTTTAGGGTTATATATGTACAGGTTACATGGTCCAGCCCAATCTGATGTTTAGAACTTGAGTTTTAGTCAAAACAAAACAACCGTCTTTAAAATCTGGGATATAAACTTGTGTTCAGGATAAGATTTTAAACTATTTCATCTTTTAAGAATTGAATTTTCTTTAACCATTTTTCAGGTGATGGGTTTCTCATTATTTAGTGTGCTGCTTTATATCTAATCAGAGCAAGAATACATACTTCTAAACTTTTTGATAAGATGTAGGGCTTCTGGTAGCTCAAAACCATAGGAAGTTCATTACTTCATGTTCTGGTGTCTTAATCTTTATCGGATTGACACATGCTTTATAATGGCAGATTCTCTGTAAGTGCTTATTGCCTACCCTCTTTGGTGTAGTTATTACAGATTTTAAGTATTTCCATGCATGCGTTCCTGTTAGTCTATCCAGTCACTCAGAACAGGAATAGGCGGGGAGTCTGGGTCAGAAGAGACGGCTTGGTAGGGGATCCCCAAAACCCTGAAGAGAGCCGTGCTCTGCGCTGCGAACGGCATTGCTGATACCTTTCCCGACTTGATTCAGGCCTAGTTTTGACAACCTGAGGAATTCTGGCATTACTGTCCCTGCCCCACTCAAAGAGAGAGAACCAGTGTGTGTGATGAGGGGGACGTCGAGTTACGGGCGTGAGCAGGGCGCCGACATTCGGGCACCTAGTTTCTGCAGGGAGCTGATAAGTTCATGTTTGACTGACGTGGGGGAGGGGAGGGACTGACTCTCCCTGTTTGTGTTATCTAGTATGTTTTTATGTCTTACAAATTTGGAGACCTAGAAGTCACCCCAAAGTGGCACAAGGGGGATCTTTGTGGTAATGGAATGGTTCTGTACCCCGACTGTAGTGGTGGCTGCTCGAGTCCACACGTGGTAAAACCACACAGAACTAACTGCACACAGGTTGTACCAGTGGCAGGCTTTGGGTTTTGGTAGCTGCGTAGCACGTAGCCTTTTGGGGGAAACTGAGGGAAGAGTGTTCAGAACGACTCTATACTACCATTGCAGCTTCCTCTGGATCTGTAATTATTCCAAAATAAAAAGTTAAAAAATTGAAAATCAACCTAAGATGATATAATTGTTTTTGAGTAGGAGTCTGCAATACATCATTTCTTCCAAAAGCAAGATTGTTTTGTGGAATCCCACATTTCCTAATTTAATCTAGCCGTATCTGGTCTACCACCATTATTAGCTTATTGTAGATCGATCACCCAGGTTTGCGGGCTCTCCCGAGTTCCTGAGGCGCAGGGCTTTCGAGGGGAAAACTGGAAGCCTCAGGCAGAGTGGGATAGTGGTTACCGGTTTGTGGAAGACGTTAACTGGAGAGAGGCAGCCTGTGGGCTGTTACTGGTAAAGAGGCGGCTTGAACGTTTGTGGTTCCATGAGGCTCCCTCCTGAATTTGACTTAAAATCGGTATTTGCTAGTGCTGCTGAGAATATCTCTTGAATCTGCCTTTTCACACATAAACGTTTCTCGGCCTAATAAAGGTCATGTAATCTCTTAGGTATTTTCATCGCCATGATTTTTGGCTGCCATTTTCCTTAGTTGTATTGAATTTTAAGATATTCTTATGGCACTAGACATACTTGATTGACATTAAGGAAGACCACAAACAACTTTATGAAATATGTAACCCGTTGATTTAGAAACCAAGCTGTTATTATTTATGAATTGATTTGTCTTACTGATGGGAGGAATGCAATTTTCAAATACAACGTCATTAAAGCATGATTCTTGAAAGAGTAAATATAAACTAACATTCATTTTTTTTCTATTTCTTTCCCTCCATACTGTGTACTTTCATTCTTCTTAGAGTTCTTCACTTAAAGTCTCAGGTATTAAATATAATTCTGTGTATAGTGTGTTTCTAATTACCAAGACATTAAATTATAGGATGACATGGACACTTACTGGGGTGTCCTTTGCATAGTGAGTCACTAGGCTGCAGGACAGGGAAGATGAAGCAGTAGAAGAGCTAGCTCTGAACTGGTGTATTGGATCATTCATTTTTCTGTATGTGTTTGGAGAAGCTAAAGTGGGAGAAAAGAAAGGACAGGTAAAGATGCATGCAGCGAAGAAAATAAAAGTATAGATTGTTTGGTAGGGGGTTAATCTAGGTGAGGAATTAGTTCTAAACTTTTGGAGAGTCATGGACCCTTTGAGACTTGGATGAAAGCCTGGAGCTCTCTCTTAGGAAAATGTTACGCTTGTTTATACATAGACTCCAGATTAAGAACCTTTGCTAAAATGGAATGTAGGTAGGTTAATGGTAGCACGTCGGGTGAGAGAAAGCCATAGTGCTCTGTGTGTCTATAGCAGTTTACAGTTTAGAATGAACTTCAAAATATTTTCTCATTTGATCCTATAACAACCTTATGGAATTGGCTGTATAGATTTCTTTATTCCTAACTTAAATAATCGAGGCTCTGGGTAATTAAGAGGTCACGTGCCTGATGAGCAGCTGGTCTCTTGAGTTGGCAAATGCTGCACTTACTGAATGTCTGTTGTGCTGGGCCCTGTGCCAGGCATTGGGGGGCGACGTGACAGGGTTGCCCTTGAAGAGCTCGTGGTTGAGCAGAGCAGTCTAATCGTAAATATTTTGTGTCATCGTATAGTAAAAATTCAGTCTTCATTCAGAGCTCTTTTTAACTCTGCCATACTGATTTCGGGGGAATATTGAGAAATATTTCATTAAAGCTAAAATATCAATACTAATTTCCAGGCTTTTGAAAATAATCTGATCATCTAATTTACTACACAGAAATTGAGTATCGTCACAAAACAGGTTTTCTCGGGAATGAATCATAGGAAGAAAAACTTAAGTTATGTGCAGAGAAGAACTTGGTGTCCTTCATGGTATTAAATACTGCAGAGGCCAACTAAGTGAAATCGTGACTGTTAAAATGGTTTCTGGGGGCTTTTTATGATTTTCTTTTCAAAAGTAGACATTATTGAAAAAATGTAAGAGATAATTTGTGGTTTTGTTTTTAAGCACTTTTTTGAGATAACCGATGATCAGTTTGACTTCCATACATACTGCATGAGAAAGATGACCCTTCGTGCCTATGTCGACCTTCTGAGATTAGAAGATACACTCAGGAGACATGCCTTCTATTTCAAGGCTGCTAGATCCGCGATCGAAATGTACTTGAAATTGTATGATAATCCCTTAACCAATGAAAACAAGCAACAAGAAATAAATTCAGGTAACTGACAAGGAACCATTTTAAAAGATTGGAAAAGAACATTACATTTCAGAATGTCATTGATATAAACAATACATAGAAAAGTCAAATGGGAGTGAAGACAGCACTGGAGAACTGATGGGCCGAAAGAAAAACCGGTGGGGAGACTCAGACAGAGTCGGCAGGTGAAGTTCTGTAGCTGATGCTTCTGAATCACCCTAAGGGAATGACTCGCAGTCTTTTATTTTTCTCTTCAGCAAGGCTAACTCAGGAAAAATGGAAACGTCTATGAGCTAGGTTCTTTTTTTCCCTATTGTAACTAAAAATAGCTTTGAGCCCCTCAGGGAAAAATATTTAGTCTTACGACTTTAGTACTTATTTATTGAAATAATAATAATGCTAATGAGACTATCTCTACAGCTCTTGTTCACTAAAATGTTAATATCTGGGAATATTTGAGAAATAGCATGGAGGCAGATTTCTGCTCTTTCATTCCTAATATTTGTGTAGTGGTTAGAGATCGTGTTTTTCTGTGCATTGCCTTATCCTGGAAATACTCCCGGGGATAGTTGGTATCATGAGACTCACGTCACACGATTTGAAACTTGGTGCTGGGAGAGATGATTTGCCTAAAGTCGCGTATCGTCCAGGAGGCAGAGCTGGGCTGGAATTGGTTCATTTTAGTCAAGCAGCATCTGCTGGTTGCCTTTCGTGTGCCAGGTTCTGTGCCGGTCGTTAAGAGCACACTTTCTAAACAGTTTTATAGTTGCCTCTTCCCCTTTAACTCCCCAAAGGGCTATACTAATAGTACGTATTGCAGACGACTATGAGGAAAAATAGCAACATTTACTCATAATTTTTATGCATTTGGATATTTGTAGAAAACCTGTCGGCCAAAGAATTGAAGAAAATGCTTAGCAAGCAGAGAAGAGCTCAGAAAAAGGCTAAATTAGAAGAAGAGAGAAAGCATGCGGAAAGGGAGCGCCAACAAAGGAATCAGAGGAAGAAACGAGATGAGGAAGAGGAGGAGGCCGGCGGCCCCAAGGAAGAGCTCATACCTGACAAACTGGAACGGGTGAGATGGGTCTGCCGTCTTTATTTAGTGAAATTCATATGTTTTAGTTTCGTTTTGGCTGTAAACACGATTTATATAAATCTGTAAATCAGAAGCCATTTGTAATATTTTCAGGGTCATCATGGCCATCAGTTTTTGAGTGGTAATGTGCAGATTTGGGGAATGCATGTTGCACTTAGAATCGTGGTTGGGGCAGGATTGTAGCCCTCCAAAGATGCCCACGCTGTACACCCTGGGCCTGTGAGTAAGTTACATTATGTGGCACAGGCGGGTGGAGGTGGCAGAGGGAATTTAAGGGTGTAATTAGCTGGCTTTAAAATAGGGAGATGAGCCCGGATTATCCAGGTGGGCCTAATATCATCACAAGGGGGCTTAAAAGTGGGTGAGGAAAGGAGGTGGGAGTGGTGTGGGAAGGACTCCGCCCCCTGTGGCTGGTCTTGAAGATGGAAGGAGGGCAGGGAAGAGGCAGCTACAAGCCAAAGAATGTGAGCAGCCTTGAGACGCCAGGAGCGACATTGAAACATGTTCTCTCTTAGCGCCTCCTGCGAGACTCGTGTTGGATTTTTAACCTACGGAACTGCACGATAGTAAAATTTGTGTTGTTTTAAGACATTAAATTTTGGTAATTTGTTATAGCAGCAATATAATTGTCTATTAAATATGAAAAGATTTTAAATATCTTGCTAGGTACGTTGTAGCTACAAAGAATTAGTGCCTCATCTCTAGGATTTAGTTATTTAGGGACCAGAAATATTTAGCTTTCTAGTTTCTTCCATGTGAATCTAGTGTTAAGTATTTTAAATTCGTCATTATTTTTTTTTCAATTACTTGATACAATTCTGTTTGTCTCTTTACTTTAGATGCTTATAGAATAAGGGGCCGTCAGTACTTGGTGTACCGTCTCCTTCAGCCTATGGAAATAATTTTCTGTATTTTTATAAAATTGTATTGACTATAAATCGTAAAAACAATAGTGCTATTTCCATTTTTTTTTTTGGAAATTGACTATTTACTTTGAATTTGTTGATAATTTTAAAGTGTGTTCTTGCTTATTTGTTTATATGAAAAGAACTGTCATAGGGTTTCAGAACAAGTCACCCCAAGATGGGCCTAAAGGCAACCAAAGTCCTGTGGGCTTAGGAGAAATTTCTGCCCCCACTCCCTTAACTCTCTAGAAGAACTTGAGTTAAGGGCCTTGCCCATAATGAGGTATCATCAGAGATGACTTTTATGGCAGGACAAACTGCAAGATGCAGAACATCTGCCCTTATCGTCATATAATAATGACTTTCCTCCCCTTTGAAGCCCAAAGTGGTCCTTAGTTCAGAGTGCCACATATACCTCATTTTCTCTTTCTGTCTTTGAACCTCTCGTGTCTGTGGGGTCTCTGATTCTCTCATGTCTGCAGGGTCCCTGTGTTTATGTATGTCATTTGGTCATTTCTCGTCAGTCGGTCTTATGTTTGTTTGGTTATTACCAGCTGAAAGAACCTCGAGGGTAGAGAACAATTTTCTCCCCACACTGTTTAAATTACTTCATATACGTATTAATATAAAATATGGGGAGAAATTTGACTTGTGTAGCTGTTTCGTAAATAAAATTTTCCTTTTTAAAATAGATAGAAAATCCACTGGAAGAAGCTATCAAGTTCCTCATACCTCTCAAGAACCTTGTTGCCGATAACATTGACACTCATCTGTTAGCGTTTGAAATATATTTTAGAAAAGGTAATGGTTTGAATTCAGTTTTTAATCCGTAATTATTTTGGTGATCATATTCAGTATAATTTGTCAGTTAGGTCTATTTTTGTTCTTTTAGAGTTCCGTTTCAGCTTTCCACAAAGGCTCTTAATCACTTTTTCTTTTGCTACTCAAAACTTTACTGGGTAATAAATTGGAACATTATGATCAAATCCATTTTAAGAATAGTTTGAACAGTCATATAAATTGTTTACCTGAAGCAGTTCTTCATGATATTTTGAGCTTTTTTTTTTTAGAAAAGCTGTCTTTGATAAATAACCAAAGTCATCTTTGAATTTTGCTTACGAATGTTATAGGAAAGGTAACACATTTTGTTACTGGATTTTAAATGAGGCTAAAATAAAGTGAAGAAAATATACATGAATATCAATGCTGTTACTTCGATTTTTTTTTCTGACACAGGAAAGTTTCTGTTAATGCTACAATCTGTCAAACGCGCGTTCGCCATCAACAGTAATAACCCATGGTTACACGAGTGTTTAATTAAATTTTCTAAGTCCGGTGAGTATAAACAAAGGAGCAATAGTAATATTTTTACTATGTAAAATATATCAAGCTTAATAATAAATGTATTTCAGTTGATTTTGTTTCAAAGGACAGACCTGAAATTTTAAAAATTCCAAACATTTTATTTTTATAGTGTCTAATCATAGCAATCTTCCAGACATTGTGAGCAAAGTTCTAGCTCAAGAAATGCAGAAAATATTTTTCAACAAGGATTTGGAAAGTTTTAATGAGGATTTCCTCAGACATAACGCTGCTTCTCTTCAGCATCTACTTTCAGGTTGGTGTTTAGCTCCCAGGGTTAAGACGTTTGTGGAAACAAGTTAGAATGTGATTCAAAAATAAGTTTTGAAAGATGTTCATCCTCACTGATTATCAGAGGAAAAGAATTGAATACAGTACCATTTTTGATCTTTCAAATTAGGAAAGTTTTTATTTTGAAAAAGATCGACTATGGTAAAGACGTGCCGGAAACTGGCCCTGCTGTTTAGGTGGGCGCTTTGTTACGCGTATCAGGAGCTCTGCAGTACCTGTGTCTTTTGCTGTAGTCATGCTTTTGTGAATAATTTTAAGGAATTAATGCAAGCACAGAAAGAGCTTTAAGTGCAGAGATGTTAACTGCAGTGCTTGCGTGTAAGTATGGGGGAAAGAATGGGAACACATTTAATGTGTGTCCCGTAATAGGGAAAAGCAGTAGGTTTTTAGGATGGAATACCAGGTAACCATATAAAGAGAAGTTTATTCCAAAGATCTGTAATAACAGGGATAGATACTTTTTAATATGTGTACAGAATTAACATAAAATATCTCAACTGTGTGACAGTACACATAGGGTAAAGACTGAGAATTGTGTACCAAAGCTTAACAGTGATTATGAGCAATTTGTTTTTCCTTGAATTTTTATTACTTTATGTATTTTATGTTTTGAGATCTCTTGCCTTGTTATAGGAAGGAGTTTAGGCAAATTCATACAAATTAATAAAATGACAAGATGGCATAAATGCAGACTGGACAAAAGATTGTAGAAAGGGAATTGGGGACAAAAAAAAGTACATATAGTGTATTTAAATACTTTAACGTAAGCTCTTTTGATGTAAAGGGAAAATTTTTGTTTTGATATCTATGGAAAAAGTTAATTCCTGTTAGAAATTACAACACTTCTTAGTAGTAGTAAGGGCAGATAAGAATTTCTCTTTAAGAACGCAGGATAATGGAAAAAATAATTTCTTCGTTATAATTATGGGAAATGCCTTTCCAAGCATTATATGAAATTCTAAAGAAAAGATAGTATTTGCCACATAAAAATAACCCACAAAGTCAAAAAACTAATTGGAAAAAAATTATTCACCGATATGTAACTGATAAAAGCTAATAATATGCTTAGGGCTCTTGTAAATTAACAGTTAACTATAAATTAATAAACAGAAGTCCAATAGAAAATTGAGCACAGAATATGGACTGTATCATTTATTGGAGACGTATACCTGGGTTTTATTTTTAAATTAATTACTTTGTGAATATGCAAACATTTTCCTGTTGTTTCTCTACTACACTCTCCCATGGTAATAATTTGTTACTTAGATGTTTTATTTTAGGATATCATCTTTTTAAAATTGTTGATGGCACAGGGTAGCCTCTGTTTATATTTTGAGTTATATCTTTGCGGGGAGGTGTTAAATCTGGTCTCTTGGTAAATGTTTAGCAACCATCTCTTTGTAATATAAAAAGACCTGTTTGTGGTGTTTTGACACCACATATAAATGCTCCCATTGTGGCCCCAAGCCGTCGGTGGTTGTCACTGAATGGAGACTTAAGAGAAGTCACAGTTGCTTCCTAAGAACTGGTGAGAGCCATCTCCAGCCTACTGCTGATTGAACACTTGGAACCATGTTTAAAGTCACTGGTCAGCGTAAATCAAATCAAATGTTAGACATAGGAATTCACTCATTTTGAAATGTCCTCGTATTTCAGGTGCTAAAATGATGTATTTTCTGGACAAGTCAAGGCAAGAGAAAGCCATTGCCATTGCTACTAGACTGGACGAAACTGTAAAAGATAAAAATGTAAAGGTGAGATTTTTCACAGACTGATTTCTGCACTTTTATGAATACTGAGTGATCTCACAACATAATTCTTGAGCGGGCCTTCAAGTGATGCCTGGATCTGATTCTCAGCTCCACCAGCTATGAGCTGTCACCTTATGCAGGTCACCTCGCTAGCTTCCTCCTCTTCACGTGGAAGGTGAGGATGACCGTCCTGTGGCATAGAGTTGGTATGAGGGTTGACGGAAAGAGTAAGCGGAAGTGCTCAGTGCCTGCCTGGCACACAGTCAGCACTTAGTACCTGCCTGGCACAAAGTCAGCGCTCAGTGTGGGAGCCGTTGTTATTAACACAGGACACTTTCATTTTAGTGATCAGAGTTTCAGGGATTCACTTTTCAAGTATTAGAATTTTACTGCTTTTTTAAGTCTTGGCAAAAGTGATTCTTAAGTTTCTTTTTTTGAGGTGATTACTTACTGTGGATAGCAGGAAGTTATTTTAGACTAAGGCCTTATTCGTTTCCTCCTGGTTAATTAACAGATTGTATCTTTTGATTACAGTGGTTATTAACCAAACTTTTTAAAAAATAATTTTTATTTTCCTTCGTTTCAATAGACTTTACTGAAGGTCTCTGAGGCACTGCTTGATGGCAGCTTTGGGAGCTGTAATTTGCAGTACGAGGAGTACAGGATGGCCTGCCATGACCTGCTCCCTTTCACGTCGGCGTTCCTGCCTGCCGTGGGTGCTGTCGGCAGTCACGGCGTGGCGCTGAACCACGCCGCAGGCTGTGAAGTCCTGGCACATGAAATTTAAAATCCCATAGGAAACTGACTCCTGTAGACTCAAAGCTGACTTCAGATCAGGGTTTCTTTTCCAGGGTGTATTTTAATATAGATATGAAATGAAATAATTGGATAGAATTTTTAAATGGAGTATTCCGTAAGCTTATTTTATTCTTTATCTGATTCTGCCAATATACACAAACATCTGTTAAAATTACCTGTTTATACTTGTACAGTTTTCTTACACTTTCAGATTATCAGCATTGTGATGGGTGCTGTCACTTCTGTATCATACATATGATAACTTCTCGTTAAGCTGGGTTGTACGTACACAGCCTCACTGTATTATTTTCTTTAGATCCTGGTTTTCGGATCTATGCTTTGACCCCTATTTGGTTCGTTTCATTATTGTTTATTTGCTAGCTTTTTAATTAAAGCACATCAGTTTTAAAGTGTTAACTATAGTATGTTGAAAACAATATGGAACTTCTTTGGGCAGATATTGAGATTTATTTTAAAATTTACTTCTATTTGCCCTTTTTTCTGTCTTGTTTTTTTCCTGATTTGTCATTTCCTTTTTAACTTCCATGCAAATGATCGTTTCTTTTGAATGAGAGTATTCCAGTTTTATGTAGAGAATTCAGAACGTGGGGATTGGTTTGCCTCTTAATCATTGGGATTCTCTGGTAAATTTGTTGTGTATCTGTAGATCAGTCTTAAAGACCCACAGGCGAGAATTATGCTTTCTTGACGAAACTGCTTTGCGCGTTAAGAAGTTTCTATCTGGTCTGTGCTTCAAGGGAGCATGATAGGGCAGAGTACAAATGACACTGAAGCACCCCCCTCTCGTCGTCTGCTCTCACTGTTGAATACGTTTTATGCGAGCACAGCAACATGAGAATTTAAACGATCACAGTTTAACTCTTAAAACGGTATTGTCGGGCAATATTTTTTGGGGGCTAGCTTTTTCTATCTTGTACAGAAAACAGTAATGGAATCATTCTGTGTATTTCTTTCAGAATTGTGTAAATATGTCTAATATTAATATTTTAAGGCAAATAAAAATTCAAAAAGGGAGATTTTATTTAGAGGAATAGTTCTAATTAAAATGGTTTTCTTTTACTCTTAAGCTATTTAGATTCATAATTGTTGAGAAAAACTCACTGTAAAATAATGCCCACCAATATAAAGCTGTAATAAATTATTTTGTACACAGTTGCTTATTTGTGTTGGTGTTATTGTTTCACAGTATCAAAATAGTTTTGCGAAATATTTTTTCTTTGAGTAAAGCTTTTAATCATCTTAATTTTTACAAGTTAATAAAAAATAACTGTTTACCAATATATTTTGATGCCACAGCAGCTTGTATTCTTTTTAGTATCTTAATAATTTTAGAACTGGGCAATCTTCGTCACTAAATATCCTGGCAAACCTATAACTTGTCATGTTACTTTCAGTGAGACGCCATTTGCATACAAGATGTCAGTTCATCATCATGTGGAAATTATGTTTTTAACTATAGTCTTTCAGCAAGTATCCCGTTGGGATTGTTGGGTAGCAGGTCAGACAGACACACTGTCCCCCCATGCCGCTGGGGCGTTGCCGGATTTCACATCGCCCCAGCGGTGACCCCCTTTGGTGCCGTGCAGTAAGCCCCAGGCCTTGCCTCTGCTGGAGGCTCTTTCATCTCTCCTCATGGGGTTGCAGGCGACCCCGTCTCATAACTCCTGCCTCCCTCATTTCTTCACCCATGGGCCTACCTTCCTCTCCCGCGCCGCGCCGTGAGGGCGGCATTTCCCTCGCAGGAAAGGACTCTCCTAAGCCGGAGGGCCACACCTAGTGCACGGTAGGACCCCCTGGTGTTCCCCCCAACCCCGAGCCGGAGAGCCACAAAATCTCCTTTCCCTGGCTGGAAGGGGCTCTTGCGCCAGAACGGCCCTTCCCAAAGCCAGGAGGGGTGGCTGTCTCAGTAAGGTCGCCCGCCTGGGGCCGCGGTCCTTCTCTTCCCCTCCCCATCTCCTTTGTCTGCAGACACGCCGGCCGCCTCCATCTTCCTTTGAGCACCACCCCCAGTGCCATTTCCCCCCCCGGGAAAATCTGCCACTCTAGATTGGGGCTTTCTCTGAAGCCACCCATTTTACTTTCTAAGTTTTCCCACTTTATTTTGTGCACTCATTTTTATTTCTTTTGTATTTGTCACCTAAGTTTACTAATTTAAAATTGCTAATTGCTTACTTACACTTATCACTAGAAATTAAAGGGCTTATAAATTTTTCTCCCAGTAACTTTCTAATTCCTGCAGATAGCCAAAAATGTAACGCAGCCATTGCTGCCTCAGACTGAGGCATCTAGAGAGAAAAGGGGCACTTTTAAAACCCAAACTGTACCCTACCCCTGCCTCCCCATGGCTTCTGTAAAACTGTTAAGGGCAAATGAATTACTTCTTTGCTTACATTCTAACTGCCATCAGTAAGAAACTTAAGCGTCAACAGTAAACTAATACACAATTAGAGTTGTGTTTTTTCTCTACTGAATAAGACAATATTTCTTAAAACTTCAGACAGCTATTGATACTATGGAAAAGTTTTCTGAGCAGAAAACAAATTCTGTGGTTCATCAAAATAATCTATTTTAAATCAACAGCTGGGCACATTTGTCTCGAATTAAATCAATGTCTTTCAAGTCTCCACAGGTTCCTCCAAATAATGGACCAGAAGCTATGAGCTATTCCTGTAAGCAGAAGATGGATGAGTCTGTAAACTAAATTCCCCAAACACTTGGGGTCCTCTCGGTGTCTTTCTCGGTCCTTTTCGGGGCCTTTGCTCTGCTTTCTCACTGTCCCCATCCTTCTGTTGTCTCTGTCCCTCTGAGTCTCTCTTAGACTCACTCGTACCTTTGAATTCTTTCTTACGCTTCGCCAAGAACCCCCTTGTCTCAATGCAAGGCTTGAGTTGCCCCAATCAGGGAATTTGCCGTGTCCTACATCACCGTGACCTTAGAGCCACTCTGCTCCCTCCCTGATGGGTCTCACCGTCTGCCATTTCAGTCACCTCTAAGGTCACCGTGATTTCAGTCACCTCTTCTACACCAGAGATCCATGCTGTAGACCTTACCAGACCAGGCATTAGGGGCCAGGCTCAGAAGGAAAGGACAGAAGCCAGCATCGCCCAAAGACTAGCAGCCTTTCAAGGCCGATCACCGCCCAGGTCCACGAGTACCCCGTTCCCAACGCAAAGAACTCATCGCAGTGCATCATCTGCCGCCGACCCGACCGCTGGGCCAAAGAATGTCCCATCAAGAACAAGCCTCCCAAATCTGCTTGCTGCAAGCGTCAGCAGTTGGGTCATTGGGCTGCCCTCTGCCCCAGGAGTCGAAGGACCTCTGGGTGAGAGCCAGCCACAGGCTTCCAAGTAGTTGCATGGGACTGAAGCCCCCTCCAGGGGGCAGAATATCTACATTTGTCTATATCACTGGACTGGAGCCGAGGGTACCAATGGCCGTGGCAGGCAGGACGATTACTTTCCTTTTTGGATACTGGGGCCACCTGCTCTGTTCTTTCTTCTCTGGACCCTTTTCCTCTCGAACCTGCACCATTTTGGGAGTTACTGGTAAGCCAATTTCTCAATATTTCCTTAAGATTCCAGAGATCCCCACAGAGGACTCGCACCTGGGAACCAGGAGAAGACCTGAGGGTCCTCTTCGAGAAGGAAAAACCAGGATGTTTTATAATTCTTTTGGCTTTCTCCTCATCTTTTTTTTTAATTTACCAACGCAGTTCCTATTCTGCGTACTCCTTATCAATTAGGAGTACTGAACTGCCCGACTCCTTAAGTTTTCTCAGCCCTGCTGGCTCTGCCTTTCTACTTGGAGTTGGGGGTGGGTCACCCCAGTCCCTGACTGTGGGTCACCCCAACACCACTTCTAATCCACTTTGTTCAGTTTGTTTCATCCAGCGTCCAGGCAATTCATCTGCAGAGAGTTCTTTAAAGAAACTGTCACCCAATCCACTACTGAACTGCTCGACTCCTTAAGTTTTCTCAGCCCTGCCGGCTCTGCCTTTCTACTTGGAGTTGGGGGTGGGTCACCCCAGTCCCTGACTGTGGGGCACCCCAACACCACTTCTAATCCACTTTGTTCAGTTTGTTTCATCCAGCGTCCAGGCAATTCATCTGCAGAGACTTCTTTAAAGAAACTGTCACCCAATCCACTCAACGGATGCTGTGTCATACCGCGGTCCCCTACGGGGGCATCGACAGCTGCTGCTGCCTGTGGACAGAGCGCAAGTATAAGGGACTGATCCTCCACCTTTGGCCCTTCTCAGCCTGAAGTAGCCACAGCGGTCATCGCGCCAAAACCCCAAAGATTGGGGTCCCTAATACCTGAGGGGGAAATGTTAGGTAACTGGTCAGACATAAGTGACAGGGGGAACAAAGGAATAGGGGCCCAGCCCACAGACCACCCAAGGAACACCCTGTTGTTAGAGAAGCCCCTCTGTATCCCCAGAGACGGACAGGAGGGTCATAGTCTTAGCCGGTCTCATCCGGCTACAGACACCTGTGCGGAAGGTACTACCCTAATTTGCCTACAATTTAAGCTTCATTATAACACTATGCTTATGCCTGGAAGTTCACGAATCTAATTGTAACACTGAATTCTGAGTAAGCACATGCGCAGTAGGCAAAGGGTAATATAGCAGCTAAGTGTCAATCAAAATGACCTCATGAGCCAATCAACTAGGAATGCCTTTGGGACCTCCCATCATGTCCAAATAGAAACAGACCTTCCCATTTCTGCGGTGGTCACAGCTCTCCTTGCTGAAAAGCCGCCCCTCCCCTCCCCTGGGATGCACTCTTACCTCTTCACCTCCCAAATTCCACGGGGCTGCAGCCTTCCTTAGTGTGGCCCGTCTCCTAAAACGTACTTTCGATAAATTTTACTTTTCCTAAATCTCGCCGACCGGTAATTCTTTGCTGCGTCGGTGAGAAAGAACCAGGGGACAACTCACACCACCACTTGTCCTCCCCCGGGCCACCGGGGTGACACCGGGTTCCGCATCACCCCAGCGGTCACAACAGGATCATTTCTTTTCTGAGAGTTACAGGGCGGATACGGTTGAGATGCGGAGTTCGGTTCACGGGGTGGGAGAAGGCAGGATGAGGGCGATGCTGGAGTCTGTGAGACCCAGCAGTGTGTCAGTCAGTGTGTAGAGACTGTGTCTGTTTTTCCTGCTCCCGCCCCACTGGTAATAAATGCCGTAAACCTGGGCTATGAACGGGGGTCTTTTTTAGGTAAAGGAGGAGAGCTGTATCCTGTCCCTCCTCCCTACCTCCAGCCTTGGCAGAGGCCCTTTTAATTTCTGAAAGCTAAAGGAGAATAAAGATAAGCCTAAAGGAGAAACGGCTTATGACTAACCACTTAGAGGAGTCTCTTGTCTCAAGGGAAGCAAAATGCCCTTTTGTCCTGCGTGATCTCACCAAGTTTGTCAGAACAGGTAGGAAAAAACACAGATTCACGGTATAGTGTGATAATTTAAGAGCCGAGCTTCAGGATTCTTGTGATTTTCTTGAGGGATGGATTTAATGGGCAATGCTTAGAGGGTAGAGAACCATAATTCAATCTACTTATTGATCACTTACTGTTTCAGACAGTGTTCTAGGTATGACATATGCAATAGTGAACAAAATTAAGTCCTTATTCTCAAGGGATTTACGTTCTAGGGGTGGGAGAGAGAAGTACAGAATATCAGGTAGTGACAATTACTGTTTGGAAAAATCACGCACCGTATGAATGTACTCAGTTTATCTAGTGGAAAGCAGAAATTTCACTATAATGTGAAATTTATCAATATCAAAGAATAAGAATAAAGCTTACAGTAAAGAGAAAAAGAACAGATTATTCTCAAGGGAATGAATCGGGTTGACATTAGAGTTCTCAGACACATTATTGAATGTAATAAGATGGCGTGTTCTTTTAAGTATCGAAGATAACAGCTTAAAATTTTCTATTCAGCCAAATTAGAATGTGACAGCATTTAAAAATATTTTTAAGCACACAAACTTCAGATTTACCTTACAAAAGTCTTCACAGAAAATACTTTAGGAGCAATATTGAGAGAAAATCTGGAAGATGCTATAAGAGAATGGGAAGAAGGATGATTAAGTATTTTTGTAATGTTTACTGTCATCTTAAAGAAATATTTATTATAACAATTAAAATTG